TGAACCCGCCACCTTAGGTGTATGTGGCTGGCGCCTTAGCCACTTGAGCCACAGGCGCCGAGCCAAGAAAACTTTTAATGCTTTATTTTATCACAAGAAGATTTTTTAACATATTAATTATTGTAAGAAAACTTACATCAATTTATATTAGTAAATCAACAATTTTTAAAGGGATAGGTAGTTATAATATCCACGACTTTAAGGTATTCAAAAATTGCAATGTTTTGAAAGATTTTTTATTTTATTTTATTTTTTTATTAGATCATAATTGTGCATATTAATTCTATCATAGGATACAGTGTGTTGCTTCCATATACAGTTTGGAAAACTCTCATCCAACTGGCTAACATAGCCATCATGTCTTTCTCAAAATTCTTGTGTTAAGACATTTATATTCGATGTTTAGACAAATTCACATGTACCCTAATAGGATAAATCATAGGCGTGATCCCCACAATATCCTTCTCTTCACACATCCTCCCCCCTCCCTTCCCCCCTCCCCTTTCCCCATAGTCTTGGGCTCCATTTGGATTATAGCTTTCCTAAGATAGCTAACAATTAGTTTCACAATAGTGTTGAGTACATTGGATACTTTTTCTTCCATTCTTGAAATACTTTGCTAAGGAGGACATTTTCCAGCTCCATCCATGTAAACATGAAGGAGGCAAAGTCTCCATCTTTTTTTTTTTTTTTGATACAGAGTCTCACCATGTCGTACTTGGTAGGTATTTTATCTGTGTAGTTGTCATCATTGTTTGGCAAGCTGGGCCGGTTTCAAACCCACCAGCCCCGGTGTATGTGGCTGGTGCCCTAGCTGCTGAGCTATAGGCACCGAGCCAAGATATTTTCTTTCTTTCTTTCTTTTTTTCTTTAAGATACAGAGTCTCACTTTGTTGCCCTCGGTAGAGTGCTGTAGCATCACAGCTCACAGCAACCTTCAGCTCTTGGGCTTAGGCAATTTTCTTGCCTCAGCCTCCCGAATAGCTGGGACTATAGGCTCCCACCAGAACGCCCGGCTATTTTTTGTTGCAGTTTGGCCGGGGCCGGGTTCAAACCTGCCACCCTCAGTATATGGGGCTGGTGCCCTACTCACTGAGCCACAGGTGCTGCCTGAGCCAAGATATTTTCAAGTAAACACTGAAAACTTTTGTCACCAAAAGATCACGCATGTGGGAAATTGTAAAATAGCAGTTCTCAAACTTGGCTGCCCATTGGAAAAATCAGAGAACTTTAAAAACTCCTGACATCTGGGTCATACATGCAGGCATTCTGAACCAATTAATCTGAGTTGCAGCCTGGACATCAGGATTTTTAAAAGCTCCCCAGGTGATTCAAATGCATAAGAAACTGATTTTAGGCTCGGCACCTGTGGCTCAAGCGGCTAAGGCGCCAGCCACATACACCTAAGGTGGCGGGTTCGAATCCCCAGCCCGGGCCCG